AAAATGAAGGTCGATCGTCAGCTTCTGGAATACTCACGATGGTAGTGCAAACAAAATAAATGCTATAAAGAATCGAACAAAAAAAAACAAGTAGCGCTCACTTGCAGGACCAACAGTAGCTTGTTTATACAGAGCATAAAATTGTATCAAGTGACTCCGCTCAAGTCGTCCCACTATGCTTGGCAGATATGCTGACGCTGACTGAAACCGTGCTCGCACTTCAGGGTCAATTTGAGCCTGTAAAATTTTGAGTATGAATAAAAAATTAATAAATAAACAAAAAATAAATACAGATAAATGAAAATAAATATGAAATATCTACGATGACTTTAGTCCAGCATACCTCATCCGGATTATCCATTAGTCCGAATTCCTCTTCCAGTGAAAGTTCTTTCCTTCCCTCTGAAAAAAAAGATAATCTCAACGAAAATTTTGCAAAAGAACGGTACAACTACGGTACGATTTTTGAATGTTCTTTCAAGACTAATAATTTTACGCAAATTGATTATAGAAAGCCAATTGAAACCTTGGAAAAGTTACCTTGCCCAGAACCTTCGAAACACCTCTGATAGTAGCGTGCGAGCAAGACGGTAAACATCCACCGCTAACCCAAGACGTTCACACGCCAATCCGTTACAAGCAGCTACAGCGTGTCTAGAACTAAGCAAGTCTGGTATGTAGTTTAGGTGAGATCAACCGGTATGAAAAGCGAAAATTCGAAAAAAGTAAGATAATTCTCCGTAAACGGCCAAAACTCGTCCAAGAACAGCTCATGAGTAGTAACAATCTTATCCTAGTTCAGATATGTAAAAAAGGAAATAAATAACTGTATCGGTAATCGATTTCTGGCTTGTACACCTATAACTGTTCTTATATTTATTCAAAAATAAATGTGAATGGAGCACGCACAAACAGAACAACAAATAAGTAAAGCAATATTAACGGCGCTTACATTCATAAAGACAATACCTAATAACTAATAATGTCAGGCTGCAACCTTTTGTGAGCTTTCCCATTTACTTTGTGTATAGGCGTTGATAGTGACTGCATGGATTTCTGGCATAACGTCAGCAATGGCATCTTGGACAAGTCTGTAATACAAAAGGATGCAACAAGCATCACAAAAGCCATGGACAGCAGCTTTTTTTTTTG